ACTATCACTAGGATTTGAACTCTAGACCTGTCACTTGGGGGTTGACAACCTATCCACTTCACTAGGTCACCACACCCCTAAACAAAATATTTATTTTTGATTAATTTTAACATTTAGCAATATTATTATAAAACAGTCTTTATAAAAGCATGACTTAGAAAAAAACTCAATTATAATATTTAAAGTAGATATACAACATATATACCAAATTTGAATATAATTATTACAGAATTCAAATTAGATAAAAAAGCATATGGATGCACTTACATCTGCTGTTCTATTTGATAGTTGCCATAGATATTTGTTAATGTTTTTTAGAGCTAAATAGAGTTTTGTTATTTTTAATAACATAGCAAAAAATAGCTATAGAGTTGTAAAAGTATAGGGAATATGTTTATTTATTGCTTTTTTATTTTTGCTATTTAGTAATTACATGTTTTATTAAAATAGTTTTTATTCATGTTTGGTAAAGAAGTTTGCTAAAAACTAAAGAATATATTTACTAAGTTTGCAAATTTATTTAATATGTTTGCTATAGTTTTCTTATATAGATATATTTTTTTTACTTTTTTTGTTTCTAGAAGCTTTTTGGCAGCTGAAAGTTAGTGTAATATGTTGTGTTTAGCATGTAATAATCACTGTTTGTTATATAAGTAATATTAGTTATTATTGGTAGACCAAAAGCTAAAAATATATTTGAAGAAATTCAAAAATTATCTATTTGACTAGTTGCATTAGAGCTATATCAAGTAGATGTTTAAATGTTATAAAAGTCTAATAGACTAGTTAAATTGGTAGTATTTAATTTAGTAAAAATTGAAAGTTGTTTGTTTCTATATTAATTTGCATTAAAATTACTTATAATAATTAAGTGCCAATTTTAAAATTTAGTCTTAGCAGTCTAGAAGAGTATTTGAGATTATGTATATCTTAAAAATGAGTGACAATTTAAAGAAAGATATATTAAAATAATGTAGAATTTATTATTATTTTAAAAAAAGAAGTTAATGCAAATTGCAATGCCTGTTAAGGTGTTGATATTATAAATATAAGGCTATAATTAGTTGTAGATCAACAAAACTGTTTCTAAACTAGTCTTTTTTTAATTCAAGTTATATGATAAGAAGTAAGATGTATATAATTTATAGAAAAAATTGATATAAGATTTGCTATTAAGTTTTTTAGTTTAGTTTTTGTAATTGAGATTATATATAAATCTAATTCTATATAATTTTTAATTCAGTTTTGTATTTTTAATATGTTATTGATGTCTTTAATGTTGTGTATAGTTATGTTAATTTTTTTATTTAAATTTAGCTTAATTTTTTTTGTTTTATTCTTATTATTTACTAAAGACAAATTGTTTATTTAAGAGCTTATGCTTATTGATGATTCATGTTATTGTCTTCTTTTGTATTAGCTGTTTGTATATATATAGTTGTTATTAGTTTTAATTGATCAAAAATTTTGAAGAATAACTCAGATAGGTTTACAAGGTCAAATATATATTCTGGTAATAAGTAATAAGCAAAATATTGTCTAAGAGTTTCTATAACTAATTAAATATTATAATATTTTTGTACTAGAATATGGATATTTGTAAGTTGTTTTTGTACAAGTGTTAAATAAAGTTGTTTGATTGTTAATAGTAATTTGAACAAAGTTGATCCAATTTCTAGTTGTCTTTCTTTTTTTTATTTGGATTTAGGACTGAGGTATTGCATAAAAATAGTAATGCTCTTGTAATATCTTGACTGCTATGCTTAGCTCTTTAGAAGTTAATATTGATAAAGTTAAGTTAACCAAAGTGACTAATTTGATATCTTCTGACAGATCTAAAAGATCTGTATTATTGAAATTGTAATAAACTTGTAACAATGATGTTGAAATATTTAGATTTATGAAATACTTTTTATAAAAACATTTACTTCTTTTATACTCTTTAAAAAACATGTAAAGTTGGACATTTTTAGATTTGCTGAGTCTAAAGGTAATCATTTTTGTAAAATAATCTAGTTATTAAGTAGTCTAATAAAGGAGTAGTTTATATATAATAATTTAATATATTTCTTAAAATCTTCTTAACTTGTAAATAAAAAAAATTTTTTCTTTTAATCTGGATGCTAAGTTTTATAAAATAAAAGGCAAAGAGTCTTTTAGTACTAGTAGATCAAAGTATTTAATTAGAATTTGCTAAAAAATGTAGTATTTTATAAGATCTTTTTATAGTAGTCTAGTTTTTTTAGCTTAATTCTGTTTATAATAAGGAAAAGATATTGTATCTCATTTCTTAGATCTTTATATGAGGCTGGTAAAACTTCTTGATTATCTGCAATATATGTATTTGATAGCTTATTAAAGAAAAATATTAACTGCAATGTTTTAACTGCTAGTACAAGAATCTGTCAATTTGTAATAAATAAGTTAAAAGAAATAATTTGAGGCAAATAATTGAAAATAAGCTCCAAGTTATCAGATAAAAAAGATAGTATTTTATTTATTAGTTCTAAGACTACCTTTCTAGTTGTTTCAAAGTTCAAGTTCTATTAAATTTTTATAAAATCTATTAGATAGAAAATATATTTTGTGATTTTTCAAGTATTCAGAAGATTAAAGTTCAGGTTAGTTAAATAATCTAGTGCTAGCTTTGTATACAATAATTCAACAATTTATACTGATTTTTTTTATTAGTAGCTAATATATTATACTGTTTTTTATATATATCTAAAATATTAAAAAATAGATTGTTAAAGTTATTTTAATGTTATAGTCTAATTACTAGAACTTGAATAAAGCTTCTAAAGAAGACTGTGTCTCTATGAAAAAATTTTATTTTTATTGTTGTTAGAATATGAATAGTAGTTGGTTTGTTAACTGCTTGTATCTAATTAGCTTTTTCAAGTCCTAAAACAAGATTAATATATTTTTAGTTTTTTGTCTTATTTAAATTATTATATCAAAAAATTTTAATCTTTTTTTTTTAATTTTTTCTAGAGCTGTCTACATATATTTTTTTTATTTTTTTTCTTTATCAGTTTAAAGTAATGGTTTGATATTCTCCTAGTTCTCTTAAGAAGATTTTTAATTAGTATCTAATTATAAGATACTTTTTTTTATAACTATTCTTTGTATATTGTATTAGTTAATCAAGTTTTTTTATTGTTATCATCTTCTATTTTTGCTGATATATACTCTATTTCTATATTAGGTTATTGTTCTATCATATTATTAGTAAAAAGATTAGGCTAAGACATTAGGTTAGATAAGACTGGGTTATTTGTTTTTTGATCTGTATTGGCAATAAGAAGATAACATTTATAATATTTGAATTCTAGATCAGGTCTTAATTAGTTTAGTTATCTATAGAAAAATTTGAAATTATGATTTTTATTGTTATGTATAATGATATCATAACTAAATTTATTGAAAATATGTTGGAATCTCTTTTTTTAAAAAAATTTTTTTTGTTAATATTTTTTTTATTGCTTGATTGTATAAGGATGACAATTTTGTTGTTAATTTTATGTTTTTTTTTGTTGTTCTGTTTATCTATAGTTTCTTGAATAAATAGTATTGTGTATTATGTTTAAGATGTCTACCTTTGAACTTATTGTTATCTTTATTATTACTAGTTTCAATTGTTAATTTAATTGACAACAAAGATAAAAAGAAAACAAGAATACAGAAAACTTTTTTGTGACTTCATTTGATTTTATTAAAGTTTATACTATGCATTTGTTGATGTTAGATATTTAGTTAATTAGTTAAGATCTGTTTGTTCAGCTTTCTTCAAAACCAATTTTTTTGTTTTTCCAATTTTACTATAAAATTGAAATTTTCAAGAAAGAATTTTGATAGTTTATCATCTATAGAATTTATTAACCAATCAAAATTTATTATATAAAAATAATTAATTATATATTAAAAAAAATTTACCAACATGTTTTATTTTACCAACACTTATTTGACTGACAAGTTCATTCACTGAAGCTCATTTTACAGACAAACTTTTTATAATTGCACTAACTCTAATTTTAACTTGACCCTAACGATAATGGGTAGAGTTATTTTGTCAGCGAATTGGCTTTAGTGAAATAAACTGTTAGTGAAATGAACTTGTCGGTCAAATAAGTTTCGGTAAAATAAAACATGTCGGTGACTTGTTTTCGGTGAAATGTCATGTCTACGAAATGAGTATCAGTGAAGTGAGAAGTACCGAAATTTGGCACTTTTAAAAAATATTGAATATTTCTTGCTGTCCAGTTAATGGTTTTTTACAAACCTTAATTATATCGTGATCCAGTAAGCCAAGTTGGATGGTTTTGATACGAATCGAATGGTACCAAAATCATTCAATATGGATCACTGGATCATAGAGTATTCGCAAATAACGATTCAATGAATTACCGTAATTCTACCGTAATTCATTAAATAATTTTTCAGGAATATCTTGTGAGCCATAATTCATTCAATTTGGATTACTGGATCACGATATCATTGAGTTTTGTAAAAAAAGACACGACTAATTACGGCATTGCACTCACACCACTATGTCCGGTGCTGTATAAAATTTGATATAAAATGATTGGCTTATGAGTTTCATCATTTTAATTTCAGCCGGGATTATCTTTCTTTTTTTATTAATTCTGGTCAAATTGAAATTTTTTAATCGGGGGTCAGGTACTTATAATGATATCATACTGCATAAATTGTATTCTTGATATTTTTTATAACCCGCTAACCCTAACTGCATCAAAAAAGTAAACCCAACTGGTACCTGGCTTTAACGTCCCCTTTAACCGAAATAATATTTTCGTGTTCCTGTTTCCGGGTCTCTGGTTTAAAACCGTGTCACATGAATTTTATTGTTTTAAGGAATCCATAAGTGGATTAAACACGCGTGAAAAATACTGGCCTGTAATTTTCCATACAGTGCTAGTGATGTTATTTTAGTTAGTACTCTAACATAGTGTGAGAAGTGACTAATCTCAAAGTGAAAGATGAATTTCGAGGACACGCATGAAAAACCTGAAAAAATTAAAAACTTAGAAGCACCTGAAGGTCCTGATCTCGAAAGTTTTATAGAAAAACTCGGTCTATACCAATTTACGAAAAGCAAAGATGATTTGAAAAATTTTTATGGTATTGCAATCGCATCTTTCTCTAGTTAATTGCATTTTCTTATACATCCTTTGTTATCGCTCGTCAGACTTCGCTGGTCCAGACTTCATCTGGCCTTCGACAATGGACGTACTTGAACGTTGCATTGTCTTCGATTACATTACTGACCATGAATGGTCAGAAGGGGATATTGGGAAAGAGCTTGCAACAAATACTATCGCGTACCGCAGACTCATGGAATCCAAAACCCTCGATCCATCTAAAGGATCTCATATTTTACTCGTCCACGGGAAGATAGAGCGCTATGGACAACAAATATCAGCAAGTGAGTACGATGAAATCGTGGGGAAAGGATTTCTTTATGCGCCAATTAACGAAACATCACCTGAAGATATAAAGAGAAAAGGTTTGTGTTTAAAACCTAGGCATATCGACAGGTATCCTACTTTAAAATATTGATGGTTAACAAAAAATCTTCGTAATGAAAATGATATCTGTCATTGCCCTAATAACAACATTTCTGGTATTGCTTTTGCCAAAAAAAAAAACTTCAAAGTCTAATGATTTTTTTTTCAGGTTAATGATTAGAGACGGTCGATTAGGGAATGATCATTTGATCGTAACCGATAATAAAAAATTTTGCAATAGTCATGGCTGACACTATTCATCATTTGCATTATATGCATTACAATATGCAATTCGAATCTTTTTATAATCTTCAATTGCATTGTATAGCACATAATTATAATGTCGTTTAATGCAGTGTCTTATATTGTATATTGCAAGTGCATTTCTGAATATTTAAACTAATTATCAATTTATGATATGGAGCCTTTGCTAGGAAAACAGAATTTCGGGCCTCTTTAACCAAAGATAAGATTTTGATCGTACATTGATCTTTAGTGTAAGAATAACACTTAATATAATTTTTACGCTAGATTATCTTAATACAAGTGATTCCGGGTTTTTTAAATATAAGATCTAAAAATAGAATCAGACGTTCATTGTCACGTGATATCGATGGTCGAAGTCGACTTTCTGCTAGAACGTTAGTTGTTATTACTGTTTTGGGCTACTATAGGTTCTTTGCCACCACTTTGAGTTTGTGATCTTTGCTTGATCTCTGTTTTAGGTTCTTTGTCACCACTTGAATTTTTGATTACTAAATCACTTTTATATTTATTTAGATTTTCTGTTACTGTTTTGGGTTTAGGTTTTTTGATTGCTGTTTTAGATTTTCTGGTTTAGGTTTTTTGATTTTCTTCAGGTTTTAACACTTTCTTGATCTTTGTTTATAATTTTGATAAGATTATCATTATCTAATAAAATTCAAACTTGTAATCTTGTAATTGTAATCTAGGAGTAT